GCACACGTATTTCATTAAATTACCTGGAATTTATGCAGTCTTCTTAACTATCTTTGCAAACATATATCAACCAGAAGTTCTATTACAAACTGTCAGTCTAGCAATTTGAAGTGGTGCATATTTATGTGAAGTGTTTTTACCAAAACACAGGATGCCAGAAAAGCAAATTCATCAAAATGATTACTGTACTGCCAAGAGTTATCAGAGGGGAGGCTGCAGCAGAACAACGCTGTCATTTCTCAGAATGTTTTATAACCAGGCTGCTAAGTACTATCTTCACAAGCTCCTGGAGCAATCACTTACTGAGCATTTACTATGCGCCAGCTGTGCACCGGGTATCTTGGGAACATTACCTCATTTAGTAGTCCCATGCAGTAGGTATGGCTGTCCGAGGTTTAAGACAAGGAAATGATGGCTCGGAGTAATCTGCCCAGGACCACCACGCATAAGTGGTGGAGCCAGAATTCTAATTCCATTTTGATTCAACAGCTCTAGATTGTAAATTATCTTCCCTCAGAAATACACACACACAAGTGGCAAAATGCATTCTTACAAACCACATTTGCTTTCTACAAAGATCCATAATGTGGACTTAAATCTGGCAAATTCCATGGGGGAAACTAACCAAGTTTGGTTGATAGATATGCAGACAGAAAGGTCAGATAGATAGATAGATGATATTTTGGATATGTATCATAGTTTTGCATCCAGTTTTTTCATTCAACATTAAATCATAAGTATTTTCTCAATTTCCACTGAAAAGTCTGAGCAGATCATACTTAGGAGTCCTAATTAAGTAGTGGTTTTTAGATGGAGTGTGGGGAGACTGGACCCAAGAGAGTATTTAACCCTCCATGGGAGAGCCTGTGGCTGGCTGGATGAGAGCAGTGGAAAGAAAGGAGGGGAGGCAGCCAGAGTCATGGTGCAGGAGGAAATGCTCAGCAGGACAGGTCAGAGCAGACTCTGCAGCCTTACTAGCTGTGTAAGTTCCAGCAGGTTATTAAAAAAAAAAAACCTCGATTTGCCTCAGTTTCCTCATCTGCAAAATGGGGATAATACAGGGTTATTGTGAGGAATAAATGAGTTAATATACATAAAGTACTCAGAACAAGGCCTGACTCATGGGAAGTGTTCCATATGTGTTTGGTTATATAAAATAAGTACATTCCACACCAAGGCAGTCCGTGAAAATGTGGATCATACCTCATCCCTGAAGCTTAGAGATGAGCAGAGTTAGAAGCAGGCTGTACTCCTCCCAACATCAACCCTACCAAGAAATCAATGTAGCAAAACAACCCTTTGCCTCTAGAAAGAAGCAAAACTTACATAAAGTCATCTAATTTCTTGACATAAACGTTGATTTGGAACCTCTTGGCTGCTCTTAGGATAATTCCAGTCAACTGCAAATCAGAGAAGCAGAAAATAAAAACATTAGGACTTACAAAAATCACACAGAGGTTTTTTTCAACAGAGCATGGTTTCTGTGTGGTTCTGATAAACAGGGTGGCTGCTGCCACACTTACTATGCAGAGTGGAACAAGGGACAACTGTTCCCTGGGACAGACTGAGAACTGTGGATTGTGTTACGTGCCTGGTAGACCAATGTTCCTCACAGTTTATTACACATGTGAGTTCTTGGAGACCTTGTTAAAATGCAGATTCTGATTCAGTAGGTCTGGAGCAGGGGCTGAGACTGGGCGTTTCTAACAAGCTCCCAGAATGCTGTCACTTTGAACAGCAAAGCCCTAGAGGACCCTAGCAGGAGGGGGAGCCAATATATCCCTTCCTGTCGGGTCTGGGAATCCAGGTGGATGGATGTGGGCATGGCCAGTGAATGGTGCCCACACATGGCCAGGCCCACCCAGCAGAGCCCAGAGGACAGGTGCAGCATCTCCCCCACGGCAGCTCCATCTTTGCACCAACACTGTGGGGCTGTGCCTTGCCCTGGGGACAGGCACCTGAGAAGAGCTGAGCTGCTGAAAAGGAACTGACTGATGGCTAAGAGAGAAAAGGGAGAAAGCCACACCTGACCCAATTCACAAAAGGATAAGAGCACTGATTTCTCAGATACAAATGCAATGAGTTGGTTGAGAGGGAAGTGCCCATAAATGGCTGTGCTCAAAAAATGTGTCTGCTTTTCTTTGATTGTTCCAGGCATGTATTCAAAATCCCAAGAATGATGATATCTCACCTTTAATTCAGCCCCTACAGTGAGAGGCTCTCACACTGTGAAATGATATTCACATCCTTTTGACATGGTTTTTAGTTTTTCTCCTCTGGGAATATGAGATTAGAGTCTATGTCTATTGATGCCTTTTAAATTAATAATGTCATATAATAACTCTCAAAGGCACCTGTATAAAGAGTTTTGCCAAAAGTGACTGAAGCAAACATATATATTTAAATTTCAACCAGCACATTCCAGGCAGCGAGTAACAGAGGCATGTCTTCCCCCTGCCGACCTGAGGCCCTGTGGGAGGGATGTGTACACGTTCAGGTCCAATCTCCTGGCAACAGAAGACTGACCAGGTTACCCCGGTCCGATCCCAGTTGTTTCCTATGATGGGCTTTCCCTGTTGCTTTTCTGTTAAAGTAGGTTTGCTGATATTTCTGCATCTGAGATCCACGGAACTCAGCCTTCGAATTATGGGGCTATGAAACTATGCATCTCACTGCGCTGAGCTGAGTTTCCTCCACTTGAATATGTATATGAAAGGAAGACAATATATTCCTTGAGAGGGCTGAGGACCAAACTGGTGAACACTGTAGACAGAATAAAAGGGATGTTTCTGAACCTGGAAGATGTGCATACTCACAGGATTAATGTCCACAAATGTCTCATGATAGTCCTTATTTGGATGCATGCCTTCTATGGCAGAAACAAACTTCTCATCTGCTTGGTAGAAGTGTGGGAAAGACATGATAATAGGTGCACCTGCATTTTAAGGAAAACAAAAATGAATGACATGGTTCTTAAAAGTCTAAGATGAATACAAAATTCCTGACCACAAACCTGGCCCCTCAGTGGAGGGTGGGGAGGCCGCACATATGAAAACTTGGGTCAGGGAGAGGGGCAGGCGAAAACTCTATTCTACATCTCTGAGCTTGGGATTTATACTTCATTTTCTGACATCTCATCTAAGCCTAACCCTCGCATTATTTTATACCACAATATACACTGAAATTCTAGCTGAATTCTTTATTCTTCAACACTTACTCTGAACCTATACAATGTAAATGCTTTATATACATTATTTTAATTAACATTACCAGCAGCCCTCCGAAGTTAGAACTATTACTTTCATTTTGCATTTGAGGAAAGTAAGGTTCAGAGAAGTTCAAAATTTCCCCAGGACATCCAGCTATCAGGTAATGGAGGCAGAATTCTGACCAAGTGAGGGACCGCTCATCTCAAAACACTTGTTTCAATTATGATTCTCTACCAGTAAATGGACTTTTCCCCCTTTTCTTTTCTATTTTTCTGTTTTTGTTTTACCCAAGATAGGCTTTGTTCTCCTGCATATGCTGATGCAGAATATTTTAAGACTCTGCCTGGTCCTGACATCTGTCCAGCCTCTGACTAGATCAGGGCCTGCCCACAGGAAGACACTAGTTTTGTTTTGTTTTTTTAATCTCATTTTATTTTGAGAAATAAATAGAGAAGCAAGTTATTAAAGGAAACCCATTCTAGATTTTGCTCTTGAAAAGGAGAGCGAGACCCAATAATTGCTGCCATGGAAATACATTTTTGGAGAAATTAGCCTGTTGGCAAATAATTTAAGTCTGCTCACCTATCCACCAGTCCAGGGCTCAAACACCACATCTGTCATACACACAGTTTTGTTCTCTATTGGTACACAGTTCCACAAAGACATAATTTCCTTCTTTGTGACCTATAATGACCTTTAAAATGTATTTTTAAAGATCTGTTGAGGACTTAATAAGGGCCAGACACTGCCCTGAGTATCTTAATACATTTATCTCTAACCTTCAATCAACCTTCCAAGGAAGTTATAAGCATCCCCATTTTACAGATGAAAAAACTGCTGTCTGGAACCCTCCTTCATCAACTTGGCCAATTTGCTAACAAATAGAATAATATTCAAATCCAGATCTACCTGACTCCAGACCACTCACTCATCACACTAGCCAAAATGTTCCCCTGGGAATGCGAAACACTTGGGGACAATCCTGGAGGGTAACCTTTCAGTCCACATCTGGGAATATGTAAGAGGCAAGAGGAAAAGGGTTATAGCAAGAGATATGACTATTGCAGAGTGGACACCTACTGTTGATTCTGCCAGCAACTTCTTGAGAAAACAGACTGTTAAAACAATAAGAAAAATACGTCTATATTTGTGCATTGAGCCACAGGCACTGGGGCTGAGCAGGCAGGCGCTGTTTCAGGCCCAGTGAGCCAGCAGGAGAGGGAGAAGCAGATACCTGTTCCTACCCTCCTCTGGGCTCATCTCCAGGTCGGGGTGTGTGCTCCCCGGCACACTGGTTCCCAATCGCATAGGCACCACCTTCACGAGAATCAATTGAAGCTCATTAAAAATACAGTTTCTGGGGCCCGTAGTATGTGGGCCTTGGGATGGATGTTATTAATGATTCTACAGATAATTCTTATACAGGGCCTCCCTTGGGAAGATAGGGAGGCTTATCTCAAAAGACTTTCAAACCAAATGGAGAAGGGGGCAAAAGTTAGTACATTATTCAAGCAAAAAGTACAACTTTAATCAGGTGAAAGAGGTTACATAGTTTCTCTTGAGAAGAATTGTAGCCTAAGAAGAATCACAGTACGAATATGAGAAGACCCTAAGTTCTAGCAGGAATTTGCTTGAAGATAAGGATTTTTATAAAAATCCTGTTCTTTCTCTGAGCACTGATTTCCACAATTATAAAAAGAGGCCATTGGCTGTCTATCTGGCAAGGCTAGTGTCAATAATCGTGTGACAGATGATTGCAAAAACTAGCCCTCGTGATAAAGAAAACGCCTTCGTCAGCTGTACCCTGCTCATTCTGCCTCATGCCCAGAAAGGATCCGAGTAGCTCCGACATTAAGAAGCACCGGGAACTTTGTGGGCAGAGTCTAAAACTAACTCTGCTTCAAAATCACTGAGAATCAGAAAGATATGTACTTTCCTATTACCGAGTTCTCTGCTTTCTCTCTCAGCCGTTTTGACATGAAATCAGCTAATGCTTTATGTGTATTACCTATATGTAAACATGTAAAGCACTGAACACAGTGACTGGCACTAGTAAGTGCTAGTAAACGTGAACTATTATTACTATGAAGACTCCTAAAACACTGCCCAGAAAAAGCACATGGCATTCTAGCAATAAGTCATTACAAAAAAGCCAATGGTTTTTTTTTTAAACCATGCTATAGTCACGTTACAAAACATTATGCTTGAGAGGTCAGAATGGCTGTTTCTGTTGGGCTGACAACATTCTTTGTTGAATAGCACCAATCCCGCATCCAGCCACTCCTGCCCATGTCCCCTCTTTGAGTTCTTACCATTCTTGCAGACGCTGACATTCAAAACTCCTGAGCCCAGGCAGTTTCCTTTAGGGATACAGAAGCCAGCATTGTCTGAGGTATTGGCTAATATTTCTGCAGGCACCTTATACCGCAAGGCAGGAAGTCCCTGTACGCGCTCATAGTCACTGAAAATTATATGCACTGACCTGTTAGGAAGTAAGAACAAAAAGCCAATGTGGGTACTAGTCGGTGTGATCTGCCGGAATCAGTAAAGGTAGCCAACTGTTCTTGGGTATAACATGGCTAAGAGCTTACAGGATGAATAGAAAATGAAGAGGCAAAAGAAAGCTTGAGAGAAGCTCAATCCCCTCAGTGCCCAATAAAGTAAGAGATGGACTGTAATGAAAGATGTTTAAGAGGCAGTAACTATGCTGACACCCCAACAAGGCCAAGAAAAAACATAATGTGTGATCAAAAATCAAGAAGATGTCAGTTTGAATGGAGACTCAAGCAGAAAGAAATGAGTGGTCTAGACCAGCAGGGATACATGCCAGTGTGGACAAAGCAGAAGCAAAGGAAGGGAAGCCAGGGGTGAGGCAAAGCAGAAGCAGAAGAGGCAGAGAACGGTGTGGCCTGGCAGGTTCTGAAGGCCTGGAAAAGTGCCGCAGTAGACAGATGCTTGACTAAAAGATATACTTTGATACCCATTTCCACTAAATAAAAATAGTTTCCATATCTGCCCAAGTCACTTATTTCAGTGGAGTCCAACATCATTCTGCCTTCAGCGGTCACAGTTTCAGACAGTGTCAAGTACCCTTACACCTGCACAGCACCTGAGTGACCGCCAAGCACGTTCACATCACTGTCTTAACTGACCCCCCAGCCCCGCCTCTGAAGGCATCTGAAGGCTGAGGGGAGTTGCTTTGGGGGCCTCACTTTTTCTTCTCTGAACCAGAGGTGGGACCTGTCTCTTGCTGCGTTGTGACTTACACGGGAGTTGCCTTTCACTGCACATCCCACCCCTACAGCATTTTTCAATGAAAATTCTTGGGCAAACAGGAAAACAGAGAAAATGTAATATCTTTTATAACAAATACCACTCAGATAAATAAAACATGTATTTATGGATACAACTGAAGCTCTCTGTGCAGCACTCCTGATTCTAGTCCTTCTCTGGTCCCTAGAGGTAACTGCTGTCCTGAATTTGGGTTTATCAATTCCACGTAGGCCTTTATAGCATTACCTATGTGCATGGTCATAAACAACATGTGGCACTACTTGCTATTTTTAAATGTTATACAAACAGTATACGACATTCTCTTTCTGTAATTTACTCCTTCATTCAACACTATATTTTTAAGATTTATTATATTAATGTGCATGGCTCTGGTTCTTACATTTTATTTCCTATATGATATTTTAGCATATGAATACACCGTTACTTATATTCTCCTTCTTTCAGGTACTTATATTGCTTCTGATGTAAGAAATTTTCATATATTGAGAAATGGGGAAGTCATTACGGCTTATATATGATTTAAGTTAAACTTTATGCTAACTAGAATGGCCTGTCTTTTGGCCTATCAAACATATACCATACATCTGCTTTAACCATTAAAGAAAAGAACGCCTTTAACAATCAAAATGGAGCAACTGTGGTTCAGCCATTTAGGATGGAGCCAGGTGGCCACTGTGGATGTGGTTTTAGACATGTTCCTGTATCACTGAAAACTTAAACTTCCTGAACTGTATCAGACTCAAGGACACCACCAGCTGTTCTCAAAACAGCATCTGCTGGCAGCTGCCAGCTGCAGCCGCATGGTCTCAAGGTCGCCCCTTGTAACTATGCAACCATTTCAGATGCCAACCAATCCTGGCTTAACAAGCACCCTTACTTCTCGCCGGCTCCAATTATAATTTTTGATAAAAAAACTCATATAACTAACTGTAACTTTG